AAAGAATTACATTACATTAAATAAATCTGATACTGCGTTTCTTAATAAAATCATAAAATGCTATTTGATGTCCAATGGCCATCGTGAAATGTATAGAGCGAGCGGACGGACGTTTGAGAGCCAAAAAAAAGAGAAAAGTGGAACCTGCAACCTTTACCTTGCTCTAAACCACTATCATTCTTTCACAGAAACCCTCTCCAGAAGGCACCATTCACAGCGACCGAGAGTTATCCGCTCTGCTTTGTCACAGACGAAACTCCTCCAGCTTTTAGTAATTTATGTGACATAGGATGCCGGATATGACACTAAAGCCACCTGCATGTCCTCCAACCTCCCAGTCCCCCAGCTACGTTGACGTCAGCTCAAGACTTCCACCCCATCTTCTCATGGGAAAAAATTTTAAAAAGTCACAGAGCCCCTCTATGGCCAGGTGCTACCCCTCCTCCCCAAAGGCTAAGGCTTTTCTTCTCTTTAGAGTGTGGCTCCAAACTTTTCTCCCAGCCTCTTCAAAGAGCAACAACAGGCCCTCGGTCCCTTGGGAGCACAGAGGGGGTAGAGCCCGGTGGGAGAGGGGCATACGTCACACAGCACGCACAAGAGGCCAGCCGGTGGGAAAAGAAAGCGCACAGGGAGAGGACAGAAAGAAGGAGAGAAAGAGGAAGAGGAGTCTGCATTTGAAAGGTGCTTTCAGCTTTTAGACAAGGGCCCTCGCTTTGTGAAAACGACAAGGAGAGAAAAAGCACAACAGCAGAAGTGAAAGACGAAGGGGGCGCAAAACCTGCCATGTCTTTTATCAGACTTGGAGGCTGAGGGAATGCATTTAAAAGCTTTAGGCCTACTTCCAAAAAAAAACCTTTCTACTTTAAAAAAAAAAAAAAATCAAAGGGCTGGCAACCAACTGCGAGACAAGGGGGTTGGGGGCAGAAGTTTCACTGTGATTTACTTTTGAGTTGCATTCTGTCATCAGATGTACCTTTGCTTTTTGTCTACAATTTCATACAAGTTGATGGAAACTCAGTTTGAACAAAAATATATACGCTTTGGAATTTTGAGAGCAGCGGCTTGGGAAGGCTGAAGGTGGCTTTTGCTACACAGAGGGTAGGGCTTCGCGGCGGAGGAGGAGGAGGAGGAGGAGGAGCCATCAGTGTCACTACAAACACCTCCCTGCATGGCCCACTTCAAATGCAGCCTCATTTCATCAGCCACAACCAACACAGGGCCAACAGGGTAAATTCAAGAAACAGATGGGGGCTAGGAGGGGAGAACCAGAAGAGGGGGTGTGGGCGTTTAAGAATAGAAAGGGGCAACTTTGTGAGGAAAACCCATTAAAATAGATTATTTTATGAAGTTACTTTTGACATGGTGCAAACATAATGGGCTTTTTCTTTCATCTGATGGCAAGAGACGCAACCTAATAAACTAACCGACAGAAATTTGAACTTCCAAGTCATAACTTTTCAAAACCTTCCGCCCTATCAATGTCTATGTCAGCAACATAATTCTACAGGGGGCACATAATGTATCAAATTTACGGGTAGGTGTAGACACCACGTTGGACGCAGGGGGAAAGTGTGTCGAGGCTCACATGGCCTGGACCTCATGTGTTGAGACCCACAGATCCACCTGCCCACACCACTCACTCACTGCCAAACAAACACAGCATCTGACTCCACGGCTCATGAATGATTGTAAGAGTCTGCATGGAAACATCATTAAGCCTTCAAGTGCATCTCTATATCTAAGTCTATCTGTGTGCACAAAACCATAATTTCAATGTAAAGCCATTAATGAAGGCAAACTGCTAATGTGGGCGGCTCTTCAAAACAATGACTTGTATGAAACCGGCATTGTTCCTACAGGGAATATGGTTTGGAAAAGATCAGATCAAAAGAATTCCAAGCGTGGACTCCCCACTGTTGACACCCGACCCACATTCTCCTGGACCCTGGTTCAGCTGGGAGGGGGGCTCAAAGAACAGCAGCTATAAATAACTGTCTCACCAGGTATTCTATACAATATAGACAGCTTTTAAAGCTAAGAGAGTTTCATTCACATTCTCTCACCTAAGAGGTTGGCTTCTGTTTTGATCTGAAAGCACAGCGGGGTCGAGCTTTTACATTTCTTCTCACAGAGTGTTAAGACGTCTAATACGGTTAAAGCATGTGATACGGGGAACATTTTCTTCAGTGGGCTATAGTTTGATCACTTATACTTTTTAGAGTATATCTTTTAATTAAAAGACTTTCACACATGGCAAGATAACCATCCAACTACAGAAAAGGTTTTAAAACCAACTATTTAGGCAGCTTGCGTAACTCAACAATTCAATGCGACCCTACAGTAGTGCCGCTGTGAGATGAGAGGAAAATGGCAAATGTATCCAGAGAGTCTGATGGTAAAAATCCTGAATATTTGTATGTAGTATAGGGGTGTAAAGATTTACCGATACGAGTCAGAAATTGATTTTAACGTTATAGTTGCAACTACATCGGTACCGGGACCCCTGGATCGATCTAAATGTACCATGAACCGGTCGAGAGTCTAAAGTTATGAATCGGTGGACTGAAGCTTTGCTGCCAACTGCGCCTCCACTCTCATGGAAGGTAAAAGGTCAACATTAGGGTATTGCGAAAAGAGCGGCGAGAGAAACGTTTGCAAGGTCAGTACATAAACAAACATGTCCAACAACGCCGACACGATTTACAGTGCACCATCAAATCTAAAGTCTTAAGTTTGGAAGACATTTGGATTCTACAAGAACAAACGTCTAACCATTTGTAAGATTTGTCGAACAGCAATTAAGTACAGCGGTAGCATGACAAATCGTAACACTCCCCTGGTGAGACGGCATGGTGACACCTATGCGACCAACGAGGAGTCTGTGGATGCTAATGGATATGAAACACCCATGTATCTAGATACGCATCGGATCTTCTTAGATAGGAGAGATGCACACTCCTAATGTTGCATTGTCAAAAGCTGTAGAAAGAGAACAAATGGTTAAAACTTAGGAATTAAACATTAAAAGATTCATTTTATGATCACAAAACAAAAAAGGGAAAAGCAGCCAAATAAATATTGATGGTGAAAACACCTTTTTTCCTTTATTTATTTTCCCTCTGGGCTATAAAAGTCATTAGGCACCCAGACTTAAATTATTTATACACGCTGAGCTCCACTAACTCCAAATTTCTCAAAAACATCCAACCCTTTCAGCGGGGGCTCCTGTTCCATCCTGGGCCAAAACTTCACACACCACAAGCGCATATTTCTAAGAAAGAAGAAATTAATCATTCTTTTTATGATAATAACGTACGGTAATTGCACAGTAATAATGAAGTTTTAAAGCTTAAATTGCTCAAACCGTATGAACCCCACTCATAAAAATAAGTTTAAAAAAAACATAAGCCACGCTTCCACCTAAAAGTACCCGGAGAAGTTCCAAAATTCCTTTTCAAGGAATAAAATGCAGAACATAATTTAGACCCCGGTGCCTGGAGAAAGTTCCTGCTGTGGAAACGCAACCATAGTTTCAGGTGTTTCTCATAGAGCCAATCCCCAAAAAATGACCCGAAGACACACAGCTTGCAGTGAGTGGGATCTTGTTACTATATGAAAAGGTTTACTGCAGCTTTGGGCCCATGTCAGGATTAGCAACTTTGACACCATGTGGGTGCAACATGTAAAGCAAGTCCCAACCTCAGACCAGGACATTCATAAAAGGACCACTACCCCTCTCATCACAAAACCCCCCATGCAACACCACGGCTGCCCTTCAGGCAAAGCAAAGCTATCAAGAACACCTTGCTGCAAAAGAGAAAACAATGGTGGACTTCAGACCTGACTGGAATTAGTAGATATTTCAGTTGCCTAAGACTTCCTCAAGTCTGATGTTTGCCTTTACCAGCATGCAGATAAATCCTCATACTAGCAGCTCATTTTGTCAAGAATCCAAACCTGCATGTGTGGTTGCGTCACGATAATGCATAGTATAACATGACCTTAACACCAGAACCACTAGCAGAGAATAAAGTTGTATCGCCATAAAAAGCAAATAAAAGCATGAGGATTTTAATTCTTCAAAAGGGTGAGCATCTAAAATAAGTATTTTAAAAAGGAAAATGGTGCTACACACAACACCACAACAGAATATTACAGTCGGTGCTCTAATGTGTTAAAATGCAAGTGATCCTGGATTCTGAGCTGCATTTAATAGATAGATGCATTTCTGCTCAAAGCGTCTGGATCGTGGGTGGAGGAACTGATTTTCCTTTTGTCTTGATGGGCTCCAATTCCTCAAACATGCTGCCTTTGAGGAAGGCATCACTAACCAAAGAGGCTTAAGGCTCCTCTGAAGCAATTCCAAAGGATTTCCTCACTTGACAACAACAGCACAGTGTTTATGGCAATGCCAAAATACAAAAACAAGCATGACCTCCAACATTTCTCCCCAGCCGTTACAATCCACACTTGTCACCAGACTGTCACACTGCAATGCTTTCAACTCAGGCTTGATCTATTGTTGCTCTAGAAGAAACTACTCAGATCAGTGGATAGGATGATACAAACATTTGTTACATGAGCAGATGACAGGTCTAGCAAAGAAGTGTTAAGATCCATCCTTTCGTTTTGTCACCGAAAGCAGAGATTATAACGGAGGTGTTTTGTGGTTGACTTTAAGAGTCCTAACTGTGTACATTTTCACATTACAAGTAGATCATTTCACTGTGTGAAATCAGCAACATTTAACTCACAGTGTGCAGCCAACATGACCAACACACCCTCACCAGCATTGTTAAGTTTGCCCACCAACAAAGCTTTGAGAAAGTTTTTCAAGAGCGCATTAGAAGAGAAGACAGACCGACCGACCACTGGTGAGGTGAAAACCCTCGTCCTAATTCTGAGAAACACGCACAACAAGCAGGAGACAGTTCAAGAAGCATTTCTAATACGCTCCTTCACCATAAATACGTGAACCTCGTGGACAGCGTCGTACTCACCCGTGCAGTCAAACCGCAGTTATTCTTGTGGTGACAGTCCCGTTGCTCGAGGCGAGAGCTCGTGCAGTAGTATTTCTGCTTCACGAGCCAGTCGTCGATTCCCTTTCTCGCCAAACAGGCATTGACTACAAAACTGTCGCCTGAAACAAAGGAGCGCATTATTAGCAGCTACAAACTATGTTTTCTCGCGCTACACTCATGTTTTCCATTAGCGGTCCATCTTCAAAGAGTCGCTGCGCTGTAACGCTGCTCTAAAGAGCTGTGAGCTCACTCTGAAAACTGTTCTGCTGTCCACAAACTGAGACAAATATTACACTTTCATCATAAACGAGGAGAAAAATGAGCGCGCTTACCTTCTGGACTCTCCCTCGGTTTACAAATCGCGGCTTGAAGGAAGAAAGTCAGAAGACAATGAATACTGTTACTCGAAAGTATCGCAGCAGCAGAAAGAAGAGCTATAGCTGTGATTTCTCTCAGGAATAAGAAACCTTACCATGTTTCGAGTGCAGTTTACCCATTTCTATGCATCGAGTTGGAGTTGAAAACCATCAGAAGAATATAATCCAACGAAAGAAAGGAACAGGCTCGGATATCCAGACAGAGGAGCGTCCGTAGAGACCGAGAGCAGACTGCGCTCAGTACAGGACCGTATGACTGGAGAGCCAAACGAGCCTTTGATCCTGAGTGCCGCCACCGACGACACACACACACACACACACACACACACACACACACACACACACACACACACACACACACACACGACGATATACGACTTCCTGCCCACGCTTTCAGAATAAAAAGCTTAATTGATGAGACGCGTTGGCTTCACAAAATAATGATTAGCGAAACGAAAATTTAAAACCATACGGCACACCACTGTTAGGTTTCTAAGAAGAAAGTAAACATATTTTCATATTAATACTTGCATATTAATTAGTAAGTGTACAGCCTCATTTATGAAACCAGAACAAAAGGTTCACAGACTATTTTAAAGCCTGCACATTTAAACTTCCTGCAAACCTTAGCTAGTGGCTGAAGTTAAACCATTGACTGTTACAACCAAACCAAGCGGTCCGAAGCAATCCAGCAGAAACCCATTTTGTGTCAATTTCATATTTTCATTGCGTGTTTTTATTATGAAAATGAATGTCGTAACTTCCGGCGTTAGGTGGCTCTCTCTCTGGCAGACTTGACGCAGCTCGCTCAGCTTTCTTCCCTCTTGTCTCTCTTCAAAGCGCAGAAGAGGCGTCAAGAAAACCTACATTTCAGCCTGCAAGCAAATGCATTTACATTTACTGACAGTGTCAGCGGTTCCTAAAACTTGGTGACTTCCAAGGGTTCCTGCAGGGATCACAGGACATTAGCAGATTAATTGGGACCAACCGCCTTAGTTTAAATGAGTCCAAGTCACACCATGTAGTTTGTAACATCTAATTTGAGCGCAAATAAGATTTGCAAAGGAAGATGTTAAGAATTTGTCTCAGTGGAGCAGGACTGATGATTCCTCTATGAATAATTAAATTACCTACAGCCAACATCCCAGAGCATTAACTACAAGATCTTTTCCATACTTTATAATGAATTAACACCCTCCATAGAGCATGCCAGTATTAAATGACTGTTCATATCCCCTCTTGACCTATAAAGCCGTTCATTTCAGTAATAAACCATACCAGCAATAATCCATTCAGATGGGCTTCCTGCGGCCAAAATCATATCATATTGTGTTCTGTGGTCAGCATGAGTCTGCCTGTTTGGGGTCTTTGACGTGAGAATAAGGTTTTGAAATCGCAGTCTTGTTGGACTGAGGCAGCAGATGAAAGCAGGCTAAGATTCTTTTGAAGTCTTCAATTATATAATAAAAGACAGAAGCCACTGTGCCACGTGTCATGCCAGGCTCAATGTGACAGTAATACATACCCACTGTGGGCATCATCTTGTGAGAAATCATTGGTAAAGGTTCAGACATTCTGAGGAGATACACATGCATCCTCCAAAAATGAATCAAGATTAAGAATTTTTAATTTTAAGAATTTTGCATCCATTGTTTCCCAATCTTGAAGGATCACTGATTAGCACTGTTATTTTTCTCTGAAATACAGAGAAAAGTCACGCTATGATTTTAAAAATATATGTATATGAAACAGTATATTTCTGTACAGAAACAAGAACACACTGATATTAGGTCTGCAATACTATTTTCCTCTGCTTTACTGGTTCTAAATGGAAGATCACTTATTTCGCTTCATTATGTGTGTCATTGATTATTTAAATACCAAAATGAAATATAGAAAATATAGCACTTTGTCTTGTCGCTGCAGAATTTCAAATAATTCAATCTATCTTCCAAATTAAAAACATGAAAAGAGTTCATGTAGAACAGGAATTAGGTTTTATAATATAAATGCACTATTTCACACAGGGTCGGATCTAGGAAATGAAATGAAATGAATGAATGAATGAAATGCTCTTTAGAATAGTTCTGTTCAGAAAGAGCTCCAATATGATGGGTTTTTTTCTGCTGAGCAAGTGACTGCCTATGCTTTTAAATATTTCTGATCACCTCTCAGTGTAATGCTGTGTTCTCTTTGGACAGTACAGTGTGCCTTGTTATGTTCATTCATGCAGGAATAACACTATATTAAATTCTTAAATTCACTTCTTGTAACGTCACTTTCTTTTTCCTTCAAGGTATGCACCTCTTAATTAGTGAAATATACAAGAGAGTATATTGTTGAGCAGGGACAGATCTAAAAAATGCCTGGCCGCCCCAGTTTGGTGTCAAACGTTGTCAAATTTAACACATTAATTTAAATCGATTTAAAAAATAACATGTTAAAATGGAAATTAACACATATGTAACTTAATGATCTGTTATGGCCACATTTTAAACTAAATGATAAGATAGGTTAAGCAAAAGGATCAAAAACATATATAAAGATATATGTGATTGTTGGTGATTCAATCATTTATTTTTGCCACCCCATGAATATTTCTCTAAAACCACCACAGGTTTTATATTATAGCACAACAAGTAAGTACGTCTTCAAAATCATAAATCATACACTCAGCAACAAATTTCCAACAAAAAGGTTTTCTGAGGGCTGTCAGTTGGTCCAGGCTGGTAGTCTTGTTTTTAAAGGTAGTGGGTTGTGTTATCAATCAAGTTGCAAAAAACGTGCCATGTTTTTCCGATGCCGGATGTCTAATTTTAGAGCAAAACTCTTCTCTTGTCATTTCTGTGTCATTGTGTATTTTTCCTTTAAAGTCTAAAAACAGCAGATAAAAATATTAGGGGAGGCTTTGTTATATTTCAGGACATAATTTAAAATTAAACATCTGTAAAAGCAAATGGACTCATTTAAGTGCTGCTTAAATGGTAAAATATGGCACCATTTTAGCAGATGGCTCCCACATGGTTGGGTGGTATGACCTCTAAATTATCATGGGCCTCTATAGTCAAGACTGTGTTCAGGTTTACGGATCTGGTTTTCCCTATCTGTATCCATATTAGCCATATTATTCCATAAATCTAGTCTAACTACCGTGTGCACCTTCAGCAATTCCCCATGTTGGCATACCACACAAATAGCAGATCAACTTCCATATAAGTCATAGCAACAATTTGCCAACGTGGGACCTCTGTAGGTCTTCCTCTCTGGTAGAAAGAAAAGCACAAATATTCACACATAAAACTCCTACGAGTGCCCCCATCCCTGCCACTAGGGGAAATCTACCAGTCAGTAAATGTAAGGCAGTGTTTAGTTGCCCTACTAGTGAGCTTCAACCACATGCTTAACAAAAGACTAAAAAAGCAGAATCCATTGATGTGTAGCAGCACCTTTGTGTAGTACCTCATTTGGTACATGCCAGATCCTATGATGTAGGACATAACCATTGAAGCAACTCAAGTGGGAGGTACAGTACGTCCTCTGAGTCAGATTTCACTGGCTGATAGCACCACCACAACACAAGACGGATGTATTGTGCTTTATAATATTCCCCACAATAACTGTTCCATTTGTTTACTTATTTTGTGATACAGAGCAACAATGAGCTGCACTCGTACTTATTGAACTACATGAAGCAAACATCCAGGTCTCACGAGTGGACTGCCATTCAGTCACAGTGTTCAAGTTCTTTCATTCATTATGACAGAGAATGGTGATTGTAATGAGCTGAAGGTTTGCAGTGGAGATGGATGTGTCTTACAGAAAAGCAGCAAATTTATTTTTCCTAAACTTAGCTTATTGTTGTCTTTACTATCAGCAATCTGTACAAATACAAGTAGCCTAGCTGACCAATCACAGTTCTAGCGGCCCACCCATGGCTCCTCTGTGGTCACCTTAGCACCACCATGTAGTTACATTCTTGGGAAGGCACACCTGCGTTGCGGTGTAGCCTAAAGTGTAGGTAAGGAGCCTAGGCACATACGCCACAGGCTATGTAACCCCTTAACACACAACTGTAAATCCAGCTTAAGCTTTCATTCAGTTCAGTTTCATTCACCAGCTACCTACAGAAGAGGTTCTATAAATTCCTGCACATAGTTAAGCAGCTAATAGCCAAAGGTGGCATATGCAAATATAACGAGTTGAGTTGAGATGATTTCTGAGGAAGTCAAGATCAAAAATGTAATCTGGCCCCAATTTTCTGGGAAGGATTTTCACATCTTTAGGGATGTGGCTATACCCTGGACACATGTCTCTAATGCAGCCCTCCAGTTGCATTTCCGCTAAACAGTGGTTTCCGCATCCTGACTCTATCATCACATGTTGTACCAAGAGGAATCAGGCTCCCCTTTGAACTAGTCTGCCACAGACACACAGATGAGCTTGTTATTATAGCAACTCGCCTGAATTTGCTGGGAAAGAAGGCCTGTCCCTCTGACACACTTCCTGTCCTTTGAAGAGGCCAACGGAGAGATGGCTTTGCGGGACCTATTTCCAAGCTTCGCCTTTGATGCCCGCGAGAGAGGAGGTGGCGGGGGTTTAAAGCCAAAGTTCCATCTCATGGATGTGAACCCCCAAACCCCCAATCAATCCCCATTACCGTGGGATGCAGTTATTTTCACCAGTTCAGAGAATAAATATTTGGCTCTTATTGAAGCATTTGTCAAATCTGTCTCCTAATTTCTGTTGTGTTTCTTCTTTTATGGCGGAAAAGCTTCACAGAACAAAAGCTAAATTCTTTAGGCACCTGCCTGATTGATGTAGGTATTTATTGACCTGGGGGAGCTCCTACCTTGGTGGTCAACCCTAGCTCATTCCACCATAAAACTCGGCATTCTCCCTGGAAACCGGCATAATGGGGGGCATTGAGACGGCCAGATTCAGGGGGATCTAATGGTTTGTGTTTATGTCCTTGTAACAATGTTAGGGGCCTGATGCCTGGAGAGCCCACCGGAGGGAATGCTGCCTGGTGGTGAGGAGGGGGATGTGAAGCACATAGAGGGAGAGAAGAGCAGCTGCTGGGCGCTTAAAGCTCAAACATGTGACTGTTGCCTTTATCTTGAGGAACAAAAGGGCATAGATGTTGTAAAGGGCAGAAGACAATCGTGACTGAAGTACAGTGTTGATTCCTGCAGCGGTGGTGACTCAGCCCATTGTGGTGGCCCAGCGTGTGATGTGTTAGACGAAGGGTCTGCAGGCAGGGAAAGACATTCTGGCATGCGTTTGCCATTCTGCATACTGTAAGCAATGGC